TTGTCAGCCTGCTGTCTCGCTGTTGGTGTGGCAGCCTCCCATTGAGCTGGATAGGATGACTGCTGGCTGTTCCATGAAATGAGGCTGGGGCCACTTTCTTGTTTGGGACTTTCTAGTCCATCTGAGCCAAATGTCATCTCCTGGCCTGTCAATTTTAGGTTTTAGTAGCCGTCAGGTTCAGAGAATGGAGTAGGAAGTGTGGCTGCACACACTATGTGGGATTGCTCAGATAGGAAATATAAGTAAACACTTATAAAATGCACACTCATTCTGGCCAATAATCTCATGTATATGACAATTGTTTTTAAAAATATTTTTTATTGATTTCAGAGAAGAAGGAAGAAGGAGAGAGATAGAAACATCAGTGATAAGAGAAAACCATTGATGGGCTGCTTCCTGCACGCTCCACACTGGGGATGGAGCCTACAACCTAGGCATATGCCCTCACTGGGAATTGAACTGTGACCTCCTGGTTCATAGGTCAATGCTCAACCACTGAGCCATGCTGGCTGGGCTATAACAATTATTAAATACAGTCAAAGGCAACCTTAACTGGTTTTCTATTAAATATCTTCATATATCAGAATAAAATTTATTACTCCTAATCTTTAGGGTTGTGATAGGTGATGTTGCCAACATATTACCAGTCTCTTAAATAATCATGGGAAGCAAGAGAGGGCCCAGGGGGATTGTAGGTGGGAATGTCCAAAATATTAAAGAGCAAATCAGCCCTAGTTGGTTTGGTTCAGTGGATAGAGCATCGACCTTTGGACTGAAAGATCCCAGGTTTGATTTCAGTGAAGGGCACATGCTGGGGTTGCTGGCTAGATCCCCAGTAGGTAGGGGATATGCAGGAGGCAGCCAGTCAATGATTCTCTTTCATCATTGATGTTTCTATCTCTCTCTCCCTCTCCCTTCCTCTCTGAAATCAATACAAATATATTTAAAAAAATAAAAGGCAAAACAAACAAACTACAGTGCCTTGATTTTTCAAGAGAAAGACCATGAATTCCCCAAGCTATAAACTGGTGAATTTGATGTTGATTTTAAGCTAGAAGTTAGCAAACATTTTCTCTAAAGGGCCAGATAGTAACTATTTCAGGCTTTGTGAGCCACATGGTCTCCATCACAACTATTCAATTTTGCCATTGAAGCACAAAAGCACCCATAGACAATATGGGTGACCCACAGGTTGAGAACCGCTAGCAGGGTCGCCTAAGACCATCGGAAAACACAGATATTTATATTACCATTCATAACAATAGCAAAATTACAGTTATGAAGTAGCAACAAAAATAATTTTATAGTTGGGGGTCACCACAACATGAGGAGCTGTATTGTACTGAGCGGGATGGAGCTGCTCCCAGCAGCCTGTGCGTCAGCCCACATTAATGTGTAGACGCCATTTCGTAGCTGTTATGCGAATGTAGCTTGACTTAAGGATGGGGGGAACACTTAACTTAAAGAGTGCTAGTTTGAAATGTCTTTGTAAGTGGGGTGACACAGATGGAACAAGGTGGAAGGCCTAGGCGACAGGGTCACACTTATCTGTTCCTATGGAAACTATTTGACTATTTGTTTTATATGGATTTTTACTCAATTCTCAAACATGCTACTGCAGAGCGCCCCTCAGCAGCCAGGCAAGCATTTGTAGCTTGTGTGTTGGCAGAACCAGCCAAGGCTGAGTGCTGTGACCTGTTTTACCAATAAAGTTCCTTGGAAATGGAAAAAAAAAAAAAGAGGAACTATATTAAAGGGTCACGGCATTAGAAAGGTTGAGAATCACTGGTATAAAGACTAGCTGGCTGCTTGCAACCGGCTATCCTTAGCCTTAACCTTGAGGCATTCACAGTTTTAGCTTTGGCTTTCTTTCTTTTCCTCCTTTCCTTTCTTTCTTTCCCTCCTTTCCTCCCTCCTTCCCTCCCTTCCTCCCTTCCTCCCTCCCTCTTTTCCTTCCTTCCTTCCTTCCTTCCTTCCTTCCTTCCTTCCTTCCTTCCTTCCTTCCTTCCTTCCTCCCATCCATCACTGCTTTTCTTTTTTCTTCCTTCCTTCCTTCCATCCATCTTTCCTTCCTTCATTTCTTTTATATAAGATTTGTCTTTTAAAAATATGTTTTTCTTGATTTTAGAGATAAAGGAAGAGAGAGAAACATCAATGATGACAAAGAATTATGGATTGGCTGCCTTCTGCATGCCCCACACTGGGGATCCAGCTCACAACCCAAGCATGTGGCCTTGACCAGAATAGAGACCGGGACCTTCAGTACCCAGGCCAATGCTCTATCCACTGAGCCAAACCAGCCAGGGCAATACTTCACCTCTTGAAGACCTGCTCCCTGACTCTGGCCCTTTAAGAAGACTATTGTCACAGGCCTGCAGACCAGCCCTGGGCGTCATGGAAACATGAGAATGTTTGGTTTCATTATCTGTTACTGCTTGGCAGTGGCCACCATTTGTACCTCTGAGACGTCCTCCTCTGCCTTTTTGTACTGCTTGGGTAATGATTGTGCTTTATTTCCCCCCTGGTTAAGAAAGCCCTGAGATTTCTTGGGGGTGGGGGGAGGCATCACTTTATTTAATCCTTTTATTTGCTCTGTGAACTGGTTAACTATCATCAGTGGTCTTACAGGAGAGATGAATCCTAGCTGCCTTCTTGCCTGCCTGCCTTTCTTCCTTCTTTCCTTCCTTTCTTCCTTCCTTCCTTCCCACCTGCTCTCCTTCCTTCCTCCCTTCATTCTCTCCTTTCCTTCCTCCCTTCTCTCCTTCATTCCCTTTTAACTTCTTTCCTTCCTTCCTTCCTTCCTTCCTTCCTTCCTTCCTTCCTTCCTTCCTTCCTTCCTTCCTTCCTTCCTTCCTTCCTTCATCCCATTCATCACTCCTTTCTTCATTTCTTCCTTCCTTTCTATTTTATCCCTTTCTTTCTTGCTTTGTTTCTTCTTGCCTGCCTTCCTTTCTTCCTTCCTACAATTTATCCACCCATTCTTCCTTCCTTTCATACTTTCTGCCTTTCTTTCTTCATTTTTCCATTCCTGCCATCTTTCTAACCTTCCTTTTATCCTTCTCCTATCTTTCTATCCTTCCTTCCTTCCTCCCATCCATCACTGCTTCCTTTCCTTTTTCCTTCCTGCCTTCCATCAATCCTTCCTTCCTTCCTTCCTTTCTTTTATATAAGATTTGTCTTTTAAAAATATGTTTTTCTTGATTTTAGAGATAAAGGAAGAGAGAGAAATATCAATGATGACAAAGAATCATGGATTGGCTGCCTCCTGAATGCCCCACACTGGGGATCCAGCTCACAATCCAGGCATGTGGCCTTGACCAGAATAGAGACCGGGACCTTCAGTACCCAGGCCAATGCTCTATCCACTGAGCCAAACCAGCCAGGGCAATACTTCACCTCTTGAAGACCTGCTCCCTGACTCTGGCCCTTTAAGAAGACTATTGTCACAGGCCTGCAGACCAGCCCTGGGCGTCATGGAAACATGAGAATGTTTGGTTTCATTATCTGTTACTGCTTGGCAGTGGCCACCATTTGTACCTCTGAGACGTCCTCCTCTGCCTTTTTGTATTGCTTGGGTAACGATTGCGCTTTATTTCCCCCCTGGTTAAGAAAGCCCTGAGATTTCTTGGGGATGTGGGGAGGCATCACTTTATTTAATCCTTTTATTTGCTCTATGAACAGGTTTACTGTCATCAGTGGTCTTACAGGAGAGATAAATCCTAGTTGCCTTCCTGCTTTCCTTCCTTCCTTTCTTCCCTCCTTCCTTCCCACCTGCTCTCCTTCCTTCCTCCCTTCATTTTCTCCTTTCCTTCCTCCCTTCTCTCCTTCATTCCTTTTTAACTTCCTTCCTTCCTTCCTTCCTTCCTTCCTTCCTTCCTTCCTTCCTTCCTTCCTTCCTTCCTTCCTTCCTCTATTCCTTCCTTACTTCGTCCCATCCATCACTTCTTTCTTCCTTTCTCCCTTTCTTCATTTCTTCCTTCTTTCCTTCCTTTCTATTTTATCCCTTTCCTTTCTTTCTTGCTTTGTTTCTTCTTGTCTTCCTTCCTCCCTCCCTCACTCCCTTCCTTCCTTCCTTCCTTCCTTCCTTCCTTCCTTCCTTCCTTCCTTCCTTCTTTCCTTTCTTTCCTTCCTTCCTTCTTTCCTTCCTTCCTACAATTAATCCATCCATTTTTCCTTTCATACTTCCTGCCTTCCTTTCTTCCTTTTTCCATTCCTGCCATTTTTCTAACCTCCTTTTATCCTTCTTCTATCTTTCCTTCCTTCCTTCCTTCCTTCCTTCCTTCCTTCCTTCCTTCCTTCCTTCCTTCCTTCCTTCCTTCCTTCCTTCCTTCCTTCCATATAAAATTTGTCTTGTAAAAAATATGTGTTTTTTATTTTAAAGTGAGAAGAAGAGAGAGAAACATCAGTGATGAGAGGTAATCATGGATTGGCTGCCTCCTGCATGCCCCACACATCAGGGGCATATGCCTGATTAGGAATCAAACCCTGACCTCTTGGTTCTTAGGTCGGCGCTCAACCACACCTGCTGGCCTGTAGCCAATCTTATTTGTGTCTTTCAAGAAAGGTCCAGAAGTGGAACTGCCTGTTTGAAAGTTTGTGCATATTTTGATTGACTTGAGAGAGAGAGAGAGAGAGAGAGAGAGAGAGAGAGAGAGAGAGAGAGAAACATCGATTTGGAGTTCCACTGACTGATGCACTCATTGGTTGATTCTTGCATGTGCCCTGACCAGGGATTGAGCTCTGCAACCTGGGCCTGTTGGGAAGACTCTCTAACCACTTAACTCTCCTGCAGGGTGAAAGTCTGTATACTTTAAGGCTTTCAGTAAATCTTGTCCAAGGACCCTTTGCCAGCAGAGCATGGGGGTCAAGTGTCTCCATTCTCAAATATGGCATTTCCCTCTTCAATATAGCACCTCTCACCCCCAGGGGGCAGGTCCAGGTCATGGATCCCACCCTCATGATGCCCTCTCTTGGTTTGCAGATCCCCTGGATACCTAGCCATGGCCTTGTTGGACAAGGCCAATTGCCAGGTAGCGACGTTAGCCCTCAACATGCTGGGATGGATCTTTACCATGGTTTCCATGGGCCTGCCTAATTGGCGCACATGGTACATAGAGAGTAGCCCCGCCCCTTCCTGGGGGCTGGCCTATGTAGGGATGTGGAAAATCTGCACTTACCAGCCCAATGGCCTCCAGAGCAGACCCATAGCGTGTCACCGCTACACCTACAGTGACACCTACCTGCCATTGGATATCCTCCTCGCTCAGCACCTGCTGCTCGTCGCCAGCCTCCTGGGGCTGCTGGGGAAAGGGCTCATTGTCATGGACCTGTGGAGAGGGTACGCTACACAGCTTCAGAAGGACACCACCTGCGACCTGTTCTTCACTTCTAGAATTCTGAGCATCATAGCTGGTGCATTTATCTCCATCGCTGTCCTCTGTAACTACTACGCAGTGATAAATGAAGAGGCCATACACTTCCCGCCCTTCTTCCACATCCCCTACAGGCCGGACCGGCAGGAGATGGGTAGCACCGTGTATCTGGCGATTCTGGCTGCATTGCTTATGCTGTTGAGTGGGCTGTTTACCATCTCTTTCCAGCAGCCCCATGTACCCCCAAGTCTCCCACGTGTGAAATTTTCAGTTGCATAGCTTTGCAAATCCACGATGAGCGTTTTATGGGGGTGAAGTAACCATGAAATAGATCCAAGGACTCATGACCATGGCAAAGGTCATCTTTAGCAGCAAGTGGCCATATTCTGTTTTGTACAAATTGGGCTCATCGATTGGTTAAGGAATTTTCATTAAAAAAATTCCAAAGAAACCACTTTCCACCTGTCTTACTGAATCTGGTTTTTAATTATTATTGAGTAAACTTGTGTCCTGGTGCACAAAATTTGTGCCCACTAAAAGGGGATTAATTAGAGGAAATGTTTTAATATTGCTATTTGCCCTTTCTCTATAATAGAAGTATCAGAGATGAAAGAAAATTAATATAATGTATATGAAAATCTTCCTCCTGTCAGAGTCTGGGGCACACCATGGAACCCAGAGTCAAGTCCCCGCCCACCCACGTGAGCCTCAAAATTGTGTGAGACCTAGACCCAGCCAGCACCCCCTCACATTGGGCTAGATCCAGACCCAGCTGGTCCCACCTTTGTCAAGCCCTGCAGGATGTGGGGGGTGGGGGGGGAAGGGGGAAAGAGACACAGCATCAGGCCTCTTGGCCCGGCGCCGGGGTCCTGACATGGCCTGAGGTCCCCCAGCCCGGGCCAGGATGGGGAGTGGAGCGCATCCTGAGGTCTTCCATGAAGCCCTGCTGAGTGGGGGTCATGGCCTGAGGCCCTAACCCCTCTCCACCACATGCACTTCCCCAAATGTGCAAAAGCAGCAGAGCAGGAGGAATCCCCTTCCATGACCGAACTCAACAGTTACCTCACTTTTGCCACATTCTCTTTCTCTCTATTTCCTTCCCTTTTTCCTCTAGTTTTTTTTTTTTTCCCCCTCTGGAGAACTTTAACACAAGCCCCAGACGTCATGTTCCTTCATTCCTATGCACTTCAAAATTATTCTCTAAAAGAAGGACATTTCCTTGAGACCCATAGGTTGAGAACCGCTAGCAGGGTCGCCTAAGACCATTGTAAAACACAGATATTTAAATTAAGATTCATTAACAATAGGAACATTACGGTGATGAAGTAGCAACAAAATAATTTTTTGGTTGGGGATCACCACAACATGAGGAACTGTATTAAAGGGTTGCAACATTAGAAAGGTTGAGAACCACTGGCCTAAATGATTCCAATGGGAAGCCAAGTTAAGAGAACTACTGCACGTAGTCATTAAGTAGTGCCAGGTTAACTTCATTTCTTTTTCCTCCCCCTCCTCCTCCTCTTCCTTGTTTCTTAAAGCAATGCAGACTGGTAAGGATAGAAGGAGATTTATTTATTTATTTATTTATTTATTTATTTATTTATTTATTTATTTTATTAAGATATTATATGTGTACATACCTTACCAATCCCCACTAGAAGGAGTTTTAGAGGTAAGGAAGCTGAAACCACAAACACAGACTTAGTTTAGACCAGAGTCCAGATCTCTTGAGGTCCAGCTTGATATTCTTTTTTAAAAAAAATACATTTTTATTGATTTTTAGAGAGAGAGAGAGAAAAAAGAAGAGAGAAATAGAAACATTGGTGAGAGAGAAACATCAACAGTGGCTGCTTCCTGCATGCCCCCTTCTAGAGATCTAGCCCCAAACCTGGGCATATGTCCTAACCAGCAACCTCTTAGTTTCTGGGTTGACCCTCATCCACTGAGCCATACTAGCTGAGTTTGATGTTCTTTTCATCAGACATTCTACTGGCACTTGGTGGTGTCAAAGGTGTAATTGACTGGGAAAGAATTTAATATTTCATTTGAGAGTATAGATTAAGTGGCCTCTAAGTACCTATGAGAGGCCATTGTTCATGAAAAGTCATATTCCATATTCCATGAAAAGAAATAAGGATGTTTAGTCCCTTTAACTGAATTTCCTTTATAGCATCTTATCTCTCCCTTAGCCAATATCCTTTTGAAAATCAGGTAGAACATGATTACAAAATTAATTTTTGACTTATTTGCTTGAAGGAAAAGTTCATCAAGAAATAAACATCCCTTTTACCATTCTCAGAATGGAAAAAAATATCTACAGGGAGGTGTAAAGGCTGCCGTGAAGACAGCTTATAACTGGGTTGGACTATCAAAGAATGGGAGGGGGTGGATATTTCTGTTTGGAGTTTAAAAAGGGGACAATCTTGATCTTGGCTGCTGTGGATCTTCAGGAGAAGGAAGAGCAACCAGGATTGCAAGTTCCAGAACTGGAAGAGAGCAGAACTCACAGGAAGATAGCACTTTAGATGTAGGAGGACCACAGAGAATGCCCTGCTGGTGATGGAAAGGATCATGGTGGTTAACAGGCACAGCTGGAACCTGCCCAGATCAATGATGCTCAACCAGCAATGGGGGACCATTGTTCGCTAGAGACCTTAAAGAGAAAGAGCTCAGTGCTGCTCTTGCACTGGGAGCCTGAAAAAGAGCACCAGCAAACTGATGTTTGCTTTCCACCAATACCAATGCAGGCCACCGTTTTGTTCCAGCATGTCAACTGTCCCTATTCTTTTCTTTTTTTTTTTTTTAAAAATATATTTTTATTGATTTTTTTACAGAGAGGAAGGGAAGAGGGATAGAAAGTTAGAAACATTGATGAAAGAGAAACATCGATCAGCTGCCTCCTGCAAATCCCCCACTGGGGATGCGCCTGCAACCAAGGTACATGCCCTTGACCGGAATTAAACCGGGGACCCTTCAGTCTGTATAGGCCGACACTCTATGCACTGAGCCAAACTGGATTAAACAGAGATTATGACTCTATTGTGACACAATGGAAATTAATGAAGTTCAGCCAAAGGTGGTTCTGGCCTAGATGGAGAGCTTGGCTTCACAATTCCTCAAAGTTTCTCCTCTGAAGTGAGAAGCCTCTGGAACAAGAACCAGTAGCAGCAGAATCCCAACCAAGAGCCATTTGGGGAAATTTCACTGAGAATCTTCTCCCCCAAGGCCTAGTTCTGGGCACACTTCATTGCTGCCCTATAGCTTACTTGGAGAAGTCTAGGCAGTGACAGGGAGTAGCCAGCTTAAAGGATGCTAGAGAATGAGGTCCAAGTAGAAAGCTGGGTTCATAATCTCAGGGCTGGGGAAAGACTTAGTTCTTTCTTGGATGAGTCTAAATCCCAGAGCTGGCCTTGCACCAAGAGAATGACCAGAATAGAGGACTTTTGGTTCCAAATTCTATTTTGAGTCACACAGCAAATACTGGGAGGTGGGAGGTGGGAGGAGAGGTCGAGTAGAGGGAGAGATGCACCTTCTCCCATAACATTAGCTATATCTCCATCCCACATCTGGGATTCCTGCTAGTCCCCCTCTGCCATCCAGGGGCTCTGGAGTCCAGAGACAGGGGGGCGGGGAAAGGAAGAAGAGAGAAGATGGAAATAGAGGGCAGGGAGAGGAGGTGTTCAGAAGTCTCAGGATCTGGGAAAAAGTGGAGAAAAGCTTTCAAAGTAAGGCAAAGAGCAGCTGGAGCTGTGGTTCCTTCACTTCCTTGTTGCTCTCTCTGCCTCACTCTTTGAAAAAAATATATTTTATTGATTTTTTACAGAGAGGAAGAGAGAAGGATAGAGTCAGAAATATTGATGAGAGAGAAACATCGATCAGCTGCCTCCTGCAACCCCCGTTCCCCCCCACTGGGGATGTGTCCGTGACCAAGGTACATTTCCTTGTCCGGAATTGAACCTGAGACTTTTCAGTCTGCAGGCCGACGCTCTATCCACTGAGCTAAACTGGTTTCAGCTGCCTCACTCTTAAATGAGGAACTTCAGATTCTGAGTGAGAAGGATGTTCCTAGTTACCAGCATCAAGGACCAGAAGAAAGCGAACAGGTAAGGATTCAAGTCCAGGGTTAATAAAAAGCCCCTTTGCTATTGATTCCTTCTGTGAAAATTTCAGAAGTAAATTTTCTAGATAAATTTTAGTTCATCTTTCAAGCTAGGGAAATACCTGCTACTCTCTTCTAATTAGCATTGCTAAAATGCCTGGTAAGATGAGCAACTAGATCAAGGCTCTCATTTCCCGAGGCTTTTGTATGAGGAGCTGCCATAGCAATCAATGTCTGTGGAGTTTCATTCCCTTGGTTCTTGGTGTTCTCTCTGACAGTGAGAAATTCTTTCCTTCCACAGAACAAATGTCATTTTGTTAAAACCGAATGCCTGTCATTTATTCCTTGCAACTAAGGTACATTTTATTGAAAGAGTTTGGATGGTTCGCACCGAAGTCCTACAATGCAATTCTCCATTGGAAGCCATTTTTTTATTATTATTATTATTTCTGAGCCTGTTAACTGGATTGCTATAAACACCTTTAAGCACTCCTCTCTTCTGAGAAAATTGCTCTCAGATCAGTAGGACTGCACATAGATAAAGAGGCAGTAAGATCATTTTTCCCCCCCTGAAACCAAGCTCCTATTTAGAGCTTAGTTTGTCTATACAAACGGGAATTGTGGGAGGCGCCACAAATATTACTGAGATTTCAGATGTATAGAGAAAATTTAGGGCTTGTTACTTAAAGATTGATTCTTCCCAGAGCACGTGACTGATCCAACCATGTAGCAGCTCTGGGTGGAGCTGTGGGTGCATCCTTAGGACCCATGAGGCTCACACTGAACCCAAGGTAGGGTTTCTCAACCATGTCACTATTGACATTTTGAACCAGATAGTTCTGTGTCGTGGGGCTGTCCTGTACCCTGTGGGATGTTTAGTAGCATCCTTGCCTCTCCCCACTAGATGCCAGTACCCTTCCTTCAGTTGTAACAACTACAAATATCTAGATACTGCCAAATGCCCCTGAGGGAAATACCGCCCCCTGTTGAAAACTACTGACCCAAAGCACACAATTGTTTCTCCTGGTGCAGTTGTAGAGGCATTGAACACTTTTCTTCAAAGGGTTGCACAACCCGAGGAAGCCCCTAGAGAGCAAGGAGAAATGCTAATTGGAGCAGCTTTATAGAGGTGTCTTTTAAAATCTCTCTCTCTAAAGAGGTAATATGCTAATTGGTCCTA